ATGGTATACCATTGTTAGGTGTGTTTGTTTTATTATTATCATCATTTTGTGTTTCACAATTTGAAACACACGTAGAGGCTTTCGAGGAAAATTTTCATAGTCTTGTTGTAGATAAGGTTGGTATTTTAGGTAAATCATGAATATGATTATTGTTGACTATTTTAAATGGTTTTGGTTTTATTATTCTACAAGTTATTGAATATAATAAATGTCCAGCTTGTGTTATATATTCTTCATGATATGGTGCGTGTTTGGTTTTAATAACGTTTCATGGTTTTCATGTTTTTGTTGGTTTATTATTTTTATCTGCTGTATTTTTTCGTATTTATTTGGAAAGTATATCAACGAATGTAGAATCACACACGTTTAAAGTACGTTTTGTTTATTTTGTGTGTTTTTATTGGCATTTTGTAGATTTTATTTGATTTATTGTTTATTTTTTGGTTTATTTTAATCCTTTAGTTATAAGCTCTAGAGCATTATTTTGCAAAAATAAAGGTGATTTAATTAATCATAACTATTTGTGTAGGTAAAATAACTTAAGTTAAAGTGCAATATTCTTACTATTGTTATGGTTGTTTGTGATCTTTTATCAAGAGATGTTTTCATCATTAGTTGGTTTTTATTTTCTTGTGTTGTGTATATTTAGGTGTATATTAAATCCAGTTTTATGTTGTTTACTTTTATTATTAAAATCTATTATTATGTCTGTGTTAATGTATTTTGTGTGTAATAAAAGTTGATTTTCACTTTTATTTTCTTTAGTTTATGTTGGTGGAGTATATATAATTCTGATGTTTGTTTCGGTTCATTTACAAAATGATCAAATGATTGGTGGATTATTTACTCCAATGATGTTTTTATTATTATTTGTTCCATTTTTATTCATTGGACAAGTTTATTTTATTTTGGGTGTTAGTAGTTCTAATTTGAATAGTAATATTATTTTGAGATTGGCTGACTACGGTGTGTATTTTTTATTTTGTGTATTATTGGTATTTATTTTTTTTTGTATTAGTTTTGTTGGTAGAAGAAAGGATAGATTTGTTCGTTAGAAATTGATTTAGTATATATTTTAAGTACACAAATTTGTAAAGTTTGTAGAGAAAAGCTTTCAATCAAAAAATATTTTTATATATTCTT